TTTTTACACTAGTAACTAATTATATCTTTTAATTGTGTCATGTCACTGTAAACATATTTACTTTTAACGTGACATGACACAATCAAAAGATATAATTGGTTGCTAGTGTAAAAAAACTTTACATTGGTAGTGTATAGATAATTAACTCTTATATTTTTACTAAAATTCTAGAAAGCAAAAACAACTCTTTTATTTTGGTGGAGTATGTTAATTACTTTATGAACCCCTTAGCAAAGCATCAACTGACTTCATACAATTATATGAGAATATGTATTTTAATTTGAAAATTTGTTTCCTTTATAGACTTATTTAATTCTAATTATCTCTTTGATCTTCAACATAAGGTATAAAGACAATTTTGCTTTCCTTTATCACTGTTTCATCTTCTTCTATTAGTACCACAATTTACTCACTATTTTTTTGTTAAATGAGCATTGTCATTGTTTGTCATTATTAGATATATATACCTATTCATGCTCTTAGCTAGGGTACTTTTCTACAAACTTGCATTAGATGCATGCTCATTTATCAAATGGATTTAGACGCTGTTTCTAACAAATGCACAAAACAAATATGGGTTTGATGTTAGCTTCCAAAATTCAGGTACGTACATCATGCTCACTTAAACCTCGGACTAAGTTTCTTAAGTTCAATTGTTTGTTTTGTAAATTAAAATCTTATTTAGATTTAAACGGAAATATGTTTTGGTTGTGTACTTTTACATAACACAATGAAAATATATTTCCGTTGTACATTAATATAAACACTACTAGAATTTCTCTTATTACATGCGACTTTTCCTGCGAATTTTTATGAAAATTTGCAAGAAACATTGTTCCTACAAATTTTTTTACGAAATTTTATCTGCAAGTAATACCTTCGTGGATAATATATTTTTGCGAATTTTAAAATTCGCAAGGAATCTTTCCTGCAAAATTTCTTGTGAAAAAAATTTGCAGAAAAGTTTCCTGCAAAAAATAATTTTCCTGCAAAAAAAAAATTCGTAGGAAAATTCGCAGGAAAGTTTCCTGCAAATTTTTTTACAAGAAATTCTGCAGGAATATTTTTTACGAAAAAAATTAAAAAAATTAAAAAATTACTATAAATTCTATCAATAATTCTTCAACTTTCAAATGCTCACAATGAATTCATCCAAAGCATTTGTTTCCATGCCTCCAACATGTGATACATAATCTTTTAAATTCTAAGATTGTAGATTATAAGCCTAATACTCAACCATACAAATCAACTTGTAAGGTAAGTGTTGCCCCAACTTATATACTTTTTAATTGTTTTATTTTCAATCGATATGGGATTTGAAGTTTTTTTAAAATATTAAACTTATAAATTTAAATATTTTTTTTTTATTTTTTCCGAGGATTAAAATTTGTAGGAAAATCCGCAGGAAAAGTTACCTGCAAATTTTTTTTACCATTTAGTAATTACTTGCAAATTTATTTTTGCAAGAAAATCTCCAAGAAACAAAATAAAATTCTTGCAATATTTTCTGCAAATTTCTACCATGGAAAAAAATTCCTATGATTATTAAAATTGTAGCAAAATTTGTAAGAAACATCTGTAAATTATTTTTTGCAAATAAATTTGCAAAAAGTTTCTGTGAATATTTTTTTGCAGGAAAATTCGCATTGTGAAAATTTTTTTGTAGAAAAAATTGTAGGAAAATGACACTTTTCTAATATTGAAAAGGGTAATATTTTTTTACACTTCAATTAATGAAACATTCTATTGACAACTTTAATTTGTATGTATCTCTCACTTCTTAATACATATGTCATAAGTCATATTAATCATTTATTTCTCTTTTCTTTCTATCTCTCTCAAGAATGTCCAAATTAAATCTTTTTTCCTTTATAAAAGAATACATAATGAAAATATGTTTCCATTGTGTATTATAAAATTAAATATGTTTCCATTGCTTATTATAAATCTTACACCCCCATTGTATAATGGTAACATGCATATATCAATTTTGTGTTTTGCATCACCTAAACATATTTATTTGATTTGTCAAAAAAATATGTCCTTGAAAGGACATATTAGAATTTTTATTTTACAAACAATCACAATGAAGTGATATTATCTATTTTCAAATGGACTTAGTTTTACTAATAAATTGTTAGTATGAATGATATTGAATTCAATTCCTTTAAGTAAGATATTGAATTTAAGTTTTGTGTATAGAAAAATACATGATTGAAGAGAGAATATCCCATTAAAAATGGTCAACTAGATTCTCGAATCTAAATTAGTCATCGACAAAATTGGTAGATATTCCATATGAATAATATGATTACAAAAACATTAAAAAAAACGGATTTGGCCTTCACGGTTCTCATCATGGAGTTGGGCTCATGCAACAACTACATGGGCTTGAATTGATCTAAAGATATAGTCAGCAGACAAAAAATAAATGGGTAATCGATTGTTTGTGGAGGATTTCTTTCGTAGGTTCTTTTTATTCGAACTAGCACGATTTCACGTTTCAATTTATGTGTGTTCGTAACATGACAGAATCGAAGACTTTCAGTGAAAAATAAAATCATACAAGCAACAAATATAGTTAAATTAGGGTGTTGTTTCAGCACCTCAGAAGATTTATGCTCTTTGTTTGAGCACGTCAGAAGATCTATGCTGGTTTTAGCACCTTAGAAGATCTATGCTTGTTTCAACACATCAGAAGATCTATGCTAATTATACAATCAAATTCATGCATGTAAGAATTAACGTGAATCGAACAGATGACATGTATATTGACTGTAGAAATCATATCCTTCATTAAATGGTAACAGAATTACAATTCATAAGGATAACGAAACATGTTCAGAATGACTACACTACACTAGGCTAGATTATGCTATGCTACGCTACTCCTAAAAAGGAAAAAAGAAAGGTGGTCGAGAAATCGTACCCAAAGCTGTCTCATATGCACAGTATGCCTTATGTGCAGGCTGCGGAGTGCGTGTGAGGTATTGTGGGAATTAGATTTCTGACCCTTTGCTACGAGCATGGCTCGTTTAATTTATAGACAAATATTTGGGAAAGGTAACTCTTTCTGACGTGCCCCGGAAGTGCATAACCGTTCTAAACTTCCACATCGTGGCTTATTCCCGGGCACGTCTTTGGATAACTCTTGGAACTGCTCATTAACTTCCCCAAACCGTTCTGCGGCCTTTGACACTTATCCCATGATTTACTTCAACCGCTCTTAAATCATGTCTCCTTTAAGCTCTTCATTCTGAGAGGTTACGAAGTGTATTCGTGTATGTCCAGATCCTTGGGATTTCGAGTAACCAACGAAAAATATACTTGAGTGTTTCCTGATTTTCCTTGTACTTTGAGAGGTTGCGAGGCTGTGAGCCTTTCTCCTTAGTAGCATCCTTCCCGGTTCGAGGATTTCGAGAATTTCACAAAAAATGTCTTCGCGTATCTCTTGATTCTCTTCAGGCTTCGTATGTCTTCTTTAGAAACTCCTTTGCCATTTTTCGATCACCTAAGATTTCGAGCACCCCTGTATTTCGAGTATCTCCGAATTCATTTTTTGGTACTAACAAATTCCCCCTGGAAAACATTTGTTTCGAGGTAATTGAGAAAGAATGTTTTCCAATGCCTCAATTTTCTTTCTCTGATAAGACACTAGAGCCATGTGCTCTTCGCGAGAATTAAATGCCCCTGACATTTTTAATTCCAGATTTCTCCTTTTCGTACCTGCTGCTCCATCTTCTTGAGATGTTATCGAAATTCGTGAATCGGCCTCTCCTCCTGAATGTCCTGAGGTATGTTCTGTTGACTCTCGATTTCACTTTTCTGGCCGTTATCGAACTTGTGCATTGTTACAATGTTTTTTCATAATAGGCAGTTTCTTCCAATGTTCTTACGGCCACTGTTCCTGTCACCGTGCCAACTATTGAACCTTCCCCTCCTGGTCTTGTGCAAAGTGATGCACCTTCCTTCAATTTCGACACAGGGGTGTCCTCTAGACAAGGTAGGTAATTACTTCGTGGACATCACGGTATTCCACCAAAGAATATTTTGTCCCACTAAAATATCCTTTTCGTACAGGTCTAGAGGTAACTTTTGAGGGCAAACAAACTCCTCCTTCCGGTCAACCTGTGATTTTGACTGATGCTGTCCCTTTCGACACTCTGCTAGCTTCCATTCCTCCTGATGACATAGACCTCATAAGCTTCTTTGACGACGAAGCTGCTCAAGATGACATTTTCGAGGCCTTGGAGAATTGGACTAGCGGGACTTCGACTTCGGGAAAAACCCAAGAAACCGTTGCGAGCTTTCAACCGCTATTATCCTCCTTTCGTTCGAAGGCTTATGTGGATCATCTTGACCAAGCTCTCATGGACCCTCAATTCAAGCTAGAGATTGAGCGGATGGTTGATGATCTAAATGCATATCCCGATCTTCCTCCGGAGGTAACCATAGAGCTGAACGAATATGTGCATACCTTTGTTGCAGCCTCCGAATTACACACGAAGTGGTCTACTTCGAATCAAGAGATGGTTCAGATCGAGGCTGATACGGAAGAGGATCGAACTAAATTGGAAAAGCTCAAGACTGAACTTCTTTCGATCAAGGACTCCACTTCTCAGATAGTTCCCGAACTGATGAAGCTCAAGCAATCTGAGGAAGATACGGAGCGTACCTTTACTGCCTTGCAACGAGAACTTGACTCGATCAAGTCCAAACATGCTGCTTTGAATCCTCAAAGCCAAGAGATCATGTTGAAGCAAAAGGGTTTGCGGGATGAGGGAAAAGGCATATCTCTCAGACTCTCCAAGTCCTTGGATCAAAAGAGAAGATTGGAGGTATTGTGTGCTTCGCGAAAACAAAGTCTCGACCAAGCCTACCAGGCATATGAAGCACTCAAATCCAAATTCCGCAAGTGATCGAGAACTTGAGAGATGCTTATTTATAATTTAATATTTATCCGCTTGTACCTTTATTGCTTATCTCTTTCAACACTCGTCTCAGTACATGCTACTTTCATGAAATTTCTTCAAGTATTTTCCATTGATCACTTTACTTGCATTTCTCGAATTTATCTCTTTGATCAAATATGCATTGTTCGAGTAGAGTCTTTCGATGATGAATGGTTCTTCCCTATTATAGGTCCATTTACCCCGATCTCGAGATTTTTGGTCTATTGGGAGGATGACTTTTAGGACTAAGTCTCCACTCGAAAATTGTTTACTCTTGACCTTTTTGTTATAAACTCGAGCTATTTTTTCTTTCTGGTGAATGACATTTTGCATGGCTATCATTCTTTCGTCATCCAGTCGAATTAGTTCATCATATATTAAATTCCAGTAATCCTCGACTGGCAACTCATTTTGCCTTTGCACTTGAACAGATTGTAAATTGATATCAATAGGCAAAACTGCTTCGTGACCATAAACCAACTTATATGGCATAGTTTGAGTGGCATTCCTTGGTGAATTTCTGTAAGCCCATAATACTTGCAGTAATGTTTCACGTCAATTTCGAGGTTTTCCTGAAATATGTTTCTTGATCAAAGCTATGATCACTTTGTTAGCAGCCTCGACTTGGCCATTACAGTAGAAACTCTTTAAATTAATACTCGGTAAATTAATAAACTCTCTAAAATAATAAATTTGTCCGGTCCCGACTTGGGCCAATGTAAAAAATTGAAAAACTCGATAAAATAATAAGATAATAATTTTTCGGTCCCAAGAAAATCATAAATTAATAATTCATAGAAACTAAAAAAAATATATTACACTCTATTGAAATATGATTCAATAGTTGTCTGTTTTCCGAAGGGCCTAGGCTTAACAATCGCGTGCAACTCGGTTACTGGTACTCTATGTATTGGGCCATGTTTTTGTCACTCTTCGCAACCTTTTGCGAATTCGATACAATCTTTGAACATACTTGGCCAAAAGTACCCTTTTCTGGACAAAGTCCATTTCATTTTCTCCCCCGCTTGATGGGCACCACAAATCCCTTCATGCACCTCTGCCATGGCTATGTAGCTCTCATGATTTCCGAGGCACTTAAACATAATTCCATCGAAGCCTCTCTTGTATAATTCATCATTCAATATTACATAATTGAGAGCCTGATATTTCACTTTTCTTTTGGCTTGCGAATTTGGACTTTGTAGATACTCGATTAGTTTTTTCCTCCAGTCCTGAATGGTTGAAGTGTCAATGGTGAGGCATTCATGCTCGTCACTCAACTCATTCCTTATACAAACAAGAGATTCGACACATTCCCTTCTTATCTTGTACCCGGATGCAATCTGAGCTAGTTCATTCGCAATTTCATTCTCGCTACGAGAGTTATGTTCTAGTTGGACCTCATCGAATGAATTTAACAAAGCTTTCCAAGTTATAAAAATGGCCTAAAATCGTTGTTTGGAATGGTCGTTCCAGCATAGCCAAGTATGTGTTAATTATGTCTCTGGAACGGGCCGTTCCAGTTACAAATTTAACCCACAACGGCCATATCCAGAACGGGCCGTTCTGATTTTGGAACGGGCCGTTCTGGACCCTTTTTGAAGTCTATAAATAGACAGCTTGGGCTCATTTCTCTGGGGTCCAAAATTTCATCCAGACTCCTTAGAGCACGAAATTTCTCTCTTTTTCTCTCTCCCCCTCTCTTTTGTATTTCTTGAGATTCTGTGATGCATTGTAGTGTGAAAGGTTGCCACAAAGCACTTAAAATCTTCCTGTTTTGAAGATTCAATAGAGCTCATTTAAAAGGTATTTCTGTTAATCTCTTTCTTCTTTTTTTATTTATTTCTTCTCTATAATAAATAGTTATAATAAAAAATAATCATGTAGACATTTTAGGATTAATTGTATAATTTAAATTTCAAGCATGTAAATAATTATTAATAAAGGGGATTAACTATTTTAATTATTAATTCTTATTACGTTATCTTCATCATAGGGTACCGATTTAGGGTGTTGTAGGGGTGCTTAATACCTTCTCTACACGTAACCGACCCCCGAACCCAACTCTGGTTATCAAGACCATTATTGGACTTTTAAAAACCTTTTCAGTTTCCAATGTTTTGAGTAAAACACTGGTGGCGACTCCATGAACTCATTTTTCAAAACTATTAATTAAGGATTAGTCTGGTGTCTGGGCATTCCTTAATTGATGAGACTTTTAAAAGGATGTCTAAACTATTAGTCGCGAGATCGAAAAAATTCGGATTGCGACAGGTTGCTTCTATGATTCATAAATGCTTTTGATCTTATTGTTATCCTATGAATCATGCTTCTAAATGTGCCTTAGGAATTCAGCTTATGTGCTTTTTCTTTCTTTGAGTCTTGCTTAAAATTTTTCGGTCATATGCTTATTTTGAGTCTTTTAAATTTTTGAATCCATATGTCTAGTGTCATGTTTAGTCATTTGTATGTCATAATTTCCTAGCTATGCTTGTTTTAATTTCAATTTTGTTTCAGATGAATTGAATATTGGACTTGGCCGAATCCATTGAGTTTGTAGTGCTTCCTATTTTTTATTTTAAATTGAGTTCATGAATTTCTGTTAGTTCATTAGTAATTCTCTTAGAGTTAAGTTTCCTTTGTGTCAACTTGTCTTTTAAATTTTCTTGTGAAATTCCGTGTTGATTCTTTAAAAAGTGAAAGAAACTAGTTGCTGGAAATTTGATTTGAAATTTGAATTCAAATTTTGGAAGGAAAAATGTGGCACATGGTGTGAGTTAAAACAAATGAGAAAAGCATGACCTAGTGATTTACATTTCAAAACAATTGGCATCTCATTTGTTTTTCAAAATTCAAGCCAAATTTGGTGCATATAAAAGTTGAGACTGAGAGTTTGAAATTTAAAAAAAAAATTCAAAGGAAGGGAAAGGCACCTCCTAAAAGAAAAGTATAAAAAAAAAATCAAAAGAAAATTCAAAAGAACATTGATTTAAAAAAAATTATATATAACAAAAGCTTGGGGTCCAAAATTCCTTCCGAATCCCCATTCTGCTCATCCTTGAGTCTTACTCTGAGAGACTCTTTCTCAGCTATTTCGATTATCTCTTTTTGGTTTTCTGCTTTTTTGTCAGCCTGCATAGCCGTTATAGTTTCGATCTTCATCGAATGTGTGCCCCCTTTGGCTATTTCGACTTCGCTACCTTCCTCGGCCTCACTGGCCGTTCTCTCGGCCATGTAGGCTAAAATTCGAGCTAAGAAGCTCGAACAAGGATCTTGTCTCATCATTCTCGCACTTGAGCCGATTCAGTTTCGACTCTGTGGATAACAAATCCTCTTCGAACATCCCAACAGAAAGTCTTCTTAACACCCTCTTCTGCCTCCAAGACATATGGGTCTATGGCATCGAAAGGCTTTTTCACGAACGCAGTAATTTGTTGATCCGCGAAAAACATTTCCGTCTCATACACTTTCTGATCTGCATCCAACACTTCTAAGTGTTCGTCATCATTCCAGAAAAATATTTTCTGGTGCACTGTCAACGGTACTGCTCCCATTCCGTGGATCCATTCTCTTCCTAACAGCACATTAAAGTTAGCTTTCGAGGGAGTGACAATAAACATGGTGGTCCTTCTCACACTACCAATCTGCACATTTAGCAATATCATCCCTTCTGGCTGAGAAGACTTTCCAGCATAATCAGAAATAAGGATATTGTGAGGTTTCAGATCTGCCAAAGTCTTCCCAAAACGTTTCAGCATCGTCTGTGGGAGTATATTTATAGCAGCACCTCCATCCACTAGGACTTTGTTGATTTCAACTCCTTCGATCATAAGGGTCAATAGTAAAGGTTTCAGATGGTCCTTCATTTCTGTGGTAGGTGAATCGAACACTGCTGAATTAAACTTTGGAATGACTCGAGATATTTGATTCACCCATACTATTTTTGACTCATAGTTGGGGTCACCGAAAAAATCTTCCCGGTGTATATCTTCCTGCTCATTCACAGATTCCATTGCTTCAACGTATTAGGAAGGCAGGATTGATACCACTCCACAAATATCTTCGAGAGAGTCCTCGAAACCACTTTCAAAACAATCCGTAATCAAATTTTCCTCATCTTCTGCAAATTTCTTAGATGCCTCACTTTCGTAAGGTACAGGAATCGAAAATTGATTACCTTTGCGTCCCTCGAAAGTTTCCTTTCTCATTCTATGTTGCCTTCTCTACTGAGTCTTGGTGAGGCCATTAAAAGGATATTTAATCCCTCTTCCAGAACCTCCTTGCATGTTTGACACAAATTTGGGTCCTCCAGAAAATGGGTTTTTCGAGTAGTTCACAATTTGCTTTCCTCGACCCATTCCAACATTGGGCCTTTATGGAGAAGTCCACTTCCCAATGGGAACATGCGCATTTGGCAGGTATGTATTACCAACTCGGGAGGAGTTGTACATGTCCATCTTTCCGATGGGAGCCATAGGAGCATTGCCTTGTGGCATATGAACTTGACGCATCACTATGTCAGTGTTCACTTTCGACTTTCCTCGAGCCTTCTCAGCTTTATAATTTTTCATAATTTCAGACTCCTCGAAATCCTTAGCTGCTGATCTGTCAAACACAGCGCTACATCTCGGACAAAGCATAACTTCCCGATCATCATCTTTCTTCCTCGCAAGGAAATCGAGCAAACTGTCCCCCTCTTTCGGATAAATAGGTTCCTGTTCTTTTGCGAACTCATCTAAGAGCTCTTCCAGTTTTTCATTCGTAATTCCATCATATTGATTTCAAGCACATTGATTTCAACCATATTGATTTCAAGCACATTGATCCCCATAGGGAGAGGTTCCACATATCCTGCTTGTGTAGCGAATGAATCAATATCAATTTTCATTTCCTTCTCCTCGAAAGCCAAGCGACCATCAGTAATCGCTTTCTCGATCATGTCCCTGAAACGTACACAATTGTTAGTCCAGTGACCATACATGTTGTGATACTTACAAAAAATTTTCCCTTTTCTTTGTTCAAAAGGAGGAATTTTATGATTTTTCGGAAGTATAATTTGCTTATCTTTCAGTAAAATATCGAATGTTCTATCAGCTTTCGTTATATCGAAACTATATTTTCTATTCGATCCGGCCTCTATATCATTTTCCCCAGGCTTTAATAATTGGCATTGATAGGTTGGCCCGAGTTGCAATTCAGCTAAGTTCACTTCCATTTCTTCATTTAGACATTCGAAATTATGGTCGTTAACGTCCATATTGTCTAAATATGTCACTTTTTCTTTTCAAACGAACTTGTCAAATTTTCTCAACCTTTCTTTCTCTGCTCGAATTTGCTCAATTCGTCTCACTTTCTCTGCTAGTTGAGCCACATCTCTCAATTGTTCATTCACAAGTTTCTTTCGAATCGAAAAATCCAACCAAGTGGCTGCAATTTTTACCAACTCATGCTCAGGAATATTCGTGTAACATCGAGACTTCAGTTGCCTAAATCTATTCAAATATTCGTCCAATGTCTCATGATGTTGCCTCTTTATATTCATCAAATCAACTATGCTCACCTTGGTTTCCTCTCGAAAATTTTTTTCGTGGAAACTCCTTTCTAATTGTGCCCAAGTAATAATCGAATTAGGTGGCAGAGTATTAAACCACGTAAAAGCATGTTTGGTTAGTGAACTTGGAAAATATTTCATTTTCAGATATTCATTACCCACTAGGTCTCCACACTCGACAAGATATCTCGCTATGTGTTCTATGGTGAATTCACCTAACTCTCCTGCAAATTTCGAGAATTTCAGGACTTTCATCCCCCTGGGTAGCTTAGATTGGGTAATATAGTCAGGAAAGGCAGATACAAAGTAAGGGTGCTCATTTCGCCCCGTTTCAAATCCGTGCCTATTCAGTACCCTCTCGACTATATGATCTAAATTTTCCTCGACATTTCTCAGAAGTCCCCCTTGATTGAGATTGATACGATTTCTAATCTCTCGAATATTTGTCTCATTGACGGTTGGATTTTCGAGGCCGTTCAGATTTATACTCGTATCTCTCGAGAGCCGATTATCATTAATTTTTCCTCCTATTTTGCCCATCAGCTCGTATAGGGGTGTGAGTATGTTGTGCATTTGTGTAGACAACAAATTTACCATATCGTGGTTACTATGATCCATTTGTTGTCGAAGGGCTATCATGGCTTCATTGCTTATACCCGTGGGTATATAATTACTTTGTCGAACCAACGACCCTTCTTGGCTTGTGCCAACATGCTGGTGAGGATCGTGCATGATAAAGCCCATCCCATTTGGGGCTACATTATACCCATATGATGATATTTGCATTTGAGGATTGTGCCCAGAATATGGTATTGGCATTTCTACGCTCATGGGCTGGGTACTTCTCCAATTCGGAGGCATCCCCCATGGGTATTCGCGGGTAGCGTTCACCATTTCTTGTGACGCATTCAGAAATCCCGCGGAGTTCGGAATATTTACAGGAGGTGGAGACATTGCCCCC